CTGCCCTCGGAGCTGAGCGTGCCCAGGCCGGGCCGTCTTACCAAGCAGGGGGCACGGTGCTGCCCGGCACTGAGCTGCAGGCGCAGTGAGAAGTGCAGATGTGTGTTCACGGCTCTGCCCTAGGACCCAGTTTTGAAAATTCGATTTTAAACGTTCCAGCCGCCTCCTCACAGCTCACGCTTCTGGACGTTTCATGCCTAATTGAAAACGAGAGGCGTGGAAATCGGACTCATCTCGCCCGTTCTCCTTGCGGCCGTGGTGGGCTATTTTTAGGGGATCCGTGCTCTTCAGGGCGCGTGGGGGTTGGGGAGAGGGGGGCCTGTGAGCTGGGGCGATGCCGCATGCGCTTGCTGCACCTCGTTTCCGTACACCCCGTGTTCACAGCAACCTCGCCCCAAACCCCGCTTCCGAGTCAGAGACTGAAAATGCTCTCAGCCTCCACGTCGCTGGGGCGTGTTCCCAGGTGCCACGGGGGGTCGTGGCCGGTGTGCGCCGTGGGTCTTGGTGGGGAGCTTCCACGTTCTTCTTTCTGCTTCCAGCCGACACGTGACCCTGTCCCCACCACGCCCCCTGGGACTCGAACCCGCAACCCTTGGGTGCACGGGCAACGCTCCAACCAGCGGAGCCACACGGCCTGGGCTTTTTTTTTTCTTAACACAGATTGGGTTGAGAAAATAGTATTTCATTTGAAAAATGAAGCCCCCAGTTCGACGCCTGTTCTATCCAAAGGCATGAAGAGAAGTAAATTGTGTGCGTGCGAGTATGGTATGTGGGCACCATGTTTGCATGCACGTGGAATACGCACACGCACACATATGTGGCGCATGCGTGTGTGCCCACATGCACATGCATGCAAATGTGTGATATGCCTGCAGTGGCCTGTACACGCGTGTGCATGTGTGTGGCATGTGCGTGTGTGTATTTGAGGGAAGTAAGGCGAAAGAATCAAAGAACGAGGGTGTATATTCTCGAATGCACACTCCCAGGCAAGACAAAGAAAGAGGCATTTCAAGGAATTTTTAAACGATTGTCACTGAATCGAGGAAGCGGCCCAGCAAACCTCAGCTCGGGGCGGCCGGGGGCAGCGAAGGGAGCCGGGCGCTCAGTGGAGGCGTCTGGCCGCCGGGACGTGCGGGGAGGGGGCTGTGTCTCGCGGACCCAGCCTGGTCGGCTCTTTCCCAGCTGCTCTCCTGCCTCTCACACTTGGTGCTTCTTTGTCACCGAAAGCGCTGAGTTGTGAGCTGCGAGCTTCAAGGGCACGGGGGACGCAGGCGGGAGCAGGTGCGAGGTGGGAAGGTGAGGATGACTGGCAGGTGCCGCCCGGCGAACGGGCACCCACAGCAGGTGGGTCGGAGCCCGGGTGTCTGTCACGCGGCGTCAGCGCTCAGGCTAGAATAAGCGCTTTTCAACCGCGTGGGGCTGATCTGCCCACCGCGCCCTCCTTCCTCCCGCCCGCTGTCCCTTCCCACCAGAGCCCGCCCGGGTTCCGCCGACACGAGCACAGAGATGGGCGGGTCCCTGAGATGGGCCCTGGCTCAAGGGCACCGGGGTCGGCTCTGTGAGGCGGCCGAGGCCACACACCATCCCAGGGCGACGCGGTGGAAGCGAAGTGCAGACATAGTTGAGCATAATTCATTTCACTTTTCGATAAAATGTTTTTTAATTGCCCTAACCGGTTTGGCTCAGTGGATAGAGCGTCGGCCTGCAGACTGAAAGGTCCCAGGTTCGATTCCAGCCAAGGGCATGTACCTTGGTTGCGGGCATATCCCCAGTGGGAAGTGTGCGGGAGGCAGCTGATCGATGTTTCTCTCTCATCGATGTTTCTAACTCTCTATCCCTCTCCCTTCCTCTCTGTAAAAAATCAATAAAATATCTTTAAAAAATGTTTTTTAATTGACTTCAGAGAGGCAGGAAGAGGGGGAGAAGAGAGAGAGAAACATCAATGATGAGAATTATCGATTGGCTGCCTCCTGCACGCCCCACAGGGGATCGAGCCCGCAACCCGGGCTTCTAGGTTCATAGCTTGATGCTCAACCACTGAGCCACGCCGGCAGTTTTTAACCCCATCGAGCTGGGCCGAAGCTCTTCCCACGATGTGCACGGAAGGACCGCCTCTTTACGTGTCTGCCCTTGAACTGACCTTGTGCAGTCATTTGTTTATGCGGCCGTCTGTCACCACACCCGGCTTCCTCCCGGCCGAGGGCACCTCTGCGGCCCCAGTGCCCTCACACGCTCCCTGCCGCGTGGTGGGCCTCTAAGAGACGTTAGACCAGTGGTTCTCAACCTTCCGGCCCTTTCAATACGGTTCCTCATGTTGTGACCTAACCTTGAAATTATTTTCGTTGCTACTTCATCCCTGGAATGTTGCTACTGTTACGAATCGTCATGTAAATATCTGATCTGCAGGATGGTCTTAGGCGACCCCTGTGAAAGGGTCGTTCGACCGCCAAAGGGGTGGCGACCCACAGGTTGAGAACCGCTGCGTTAGATGGATGTCAGCATGAGAGTCCTTGACAGCCCCGAGGGGAGGCCGGCTCTCGGTCACCGCCGCCCATTCATCCTGCAGGACCCGAATCGCAGCCTTTCTCTTCTCTCTGCAAAGCTGGCATCAACCTCGAATGGAAGAGAGAGGACCACACGCTGAGCCATGCTCCCCGGTGAGCAGCGGAGCGAGGGAGGCCGTGGCCGAGTTAGCGATGGCGTATTTGATTGGTTCCGGCCCCGGATGATGGGCCACGACGAGGCTAAAGCGGGGGGAGGAGGCGTGGGCTGTGTCCGAGCGCCCCCCAGGCACAGACTCCGGCTGAGAGGCGGGCAGCGTGGCTTGTGCTGTCCACGCACCCAGCGTTAGCGTGGGAACCAGCCCCTCGGTGTCAGTTACCTGAGAGGAGAGAATGGAATAGGAATGATGATCGATTCTGCCATAGCAGTCATGATAGTAATTCTAGAGGTGGCAGCAACATCAATAAGTACAGCCACCCTCAGATGGAGGCCTGTCGGCCACCTGCTCTCCTGGGTGCTCACAGCGACAGCCTGGCCAGGAAGCCCTGGCCCCACACCGACCACGTCTTTTCTCTGTCAATAAAGCTCCTCTTGCCCTGGTTGGTGTGGCTCAGTGGATAGAGCGTCGGCCTGCGGACCAAAGGGTCCCGGGTTCGATTCTGGTCAAGGGCACGTACCTCGGCTGCAGGCTCCTCCCTGGCCCCGGCCCTGGTCGGGGCTCGTGGAGGAGGCAACCCATCGATGTGTTTCTCTCTGTCTTTCCCTCTCTAAAAATCAATGGACAGATATCCTCGGGTGAGGATTAAAAGAAATAATTAGATAAAATAAAGTGCCTCTTTGCACAGCCAGTGGTTGAGCATCAACCTAGGAACCAGGAGGTCACGATTCGATTCCCGGTCAGGGCACATACCCGGGTTGCAGGCTCCATCCCCAGTGTGGGGCGTGCAGGAGGCAGCCTATCCATGATTCTCTCTCATCACCGATGTTTCTGTCCCTCTCCCTTCCTCTCTGAAATCAATAAAAATATATTTAAAAAAACAGAAAGCGCCTCTTTGCTCCGTGGCACCATCACCGTCATTCCTTCCTCCAGCATTTGGTGGTGACGGCACCGTGTTGATCTCTCGTGGGAGCTGATAGGCAGCGTTGGGAGCTGAGCAGGGGACATCTGCTCCCTGGTGGGACCCCGAGTCTGGCTGTTCATCAGCAAAGGGTCCTCCATCCCTTGCTATCACAGAAGGGGGGGTTGTTCCTCGGTCCTGTTCTCTCCCCCAGACGCTGCAGCCAAGCTCCTGGCTGCCACGTGGGGAAGGGGAGAGGCACAGGGAGGTTCCTGCCAGATCCGGATGAGCTGCCTCCTGCAGACAGGGCAAGGGCGGCCCGTGCCTGCTCTGTCCGGCTCTGACTCGGGCCCCAGCCATCACTCCAGGCGGCCACGCCCACGGATGCACGCATTTTGCAAGCCTGGGATGCGGCCTGACCGAGTTCCTTTGGCGTTCGGCTTCGACTGAGTCGTTCTGGGCTTGGCTCCGCCTTTGCATCCACTCTGGGCGTTTGTTTTGCAGAAGCCAGCGTGAAGGAGGAGGCCGAGAGGTACATGGACGCGCTGGAGGGCAAGCTGCGCAGGTGAGGACGACGACCCCCGAGTCCCAGACTCCACGCACGTCTGTGTCCTGTATTCTGACGGCACGGGGTGAGGCCGAGCAAAGGCTAGCAATTTATTGCCGGAAGAAGCAGGGGCCACACAAACACCTCCCGGCCCCTCCCCCTCTATTAAACGTAAACGGGTTAAAATGTCGCAGGTGTCCGGCGGAGATCAGGGATCTCTCTCATGTTCTGTAAGGAGAGAGAATCCTTCGCTTTGTTACATTGAGCTTCCCCGCCTTGGTCTGTTTTTCTTTTCTTTTTTCGCGTCTCACGGACGCCGGCCCAGCTCCTACCACAGGAGAATTCCCATCCCCGCTGCTGGGCGCTCTGCCTCTGTGGACAGAGCCCACCCCAGGATGGCTTCTAAGTCCCTTATCTCAGCCGCCTCAGGCAGAACCCGGGCTGCTTCCTCCCGTCGCTGCCGATGTAAAGATGGCATTTCTTGCGCTGGGAGGACCAGATGGGGTTGGATTGTATGCTGGGCCTCAGAACAGAATCCTGCAGCTTCCATTCATCGCAAAAGCAGGGCCTTTGAGTTGTGCTTCTTAAAAAGAAAAGTTCTCCAAAGAAATCATAACATCATTGATGTCGGCTGCCTCCTGCAGGCCCCACAGCGGGGACGGAGCCCGCAACCCAGGCATGTGCCTGATCGGGAATCGAACCGTGACCTCCTGGTTCCTAGGTCGACGCTCAGCCCCTGAGCCCGGTCGGCCAGGCAGGTAGCCCGGCTCTTGAGCGGGGATGAGGAGACCCCCTGACTTGATGTGTACGCCTCTGCCCACCTCTGTCTTAGCTGCCCGTGTCCGCTGCTGGGAAGAGTGTGGGAAGCCGACCTGGAGGCTTGCCGGTTGCTGATCCAGAGCCTGCAGCCCCCGGAGCCGCGGGGCAGCCCGTCCGCAGAGGATGAGCCGCCGCTCGGAGACGTGGCGGGCAGCGGCCCCGGGCCCCACGCCGCCGAGGATGGGAGCAGGACCCCCCTGCAGGCGTCCGAGGAGTGGAAGGCGCCCCCGGCTCCCTCTCCCCACCGCGCTGCCAGCGAACAGAGAGAGGTCTGTCCATCCCAGACCTTCTGCGGGGCTCGGTGCTGAGGGGGTTTGGGGACCACACGCCCGATGAGAGCAGTAAATATTGGAAGGGCTTCCAGGCACACTTTTAAGGTTTTAAGGTTTTAAGAAGGCTTGAGTCGGATTCTAACAATGTCGAATTTGGGCCCCAGCTGGTGTGGCTCAGTGGATAGAGCATCGGCCCGCAGGCTGGAGGGTCCCGGGGTCGATTCCGGTCAAGGGCAGGGACCTCAGTTGCAGGCTGGATCCCTGGCCCTGTCTAGCTGTGGTCCCTGCGTCTGGGACAGAGCTGAGAACAGACGCCCGATGAGAGCAGTAAATATTGGAAGGGCTTCCACGGGACCAGGCACACTTTTAAGGTTTTAAGAAGGCTTGAGTCGGATTCTAACAATGTCGAATTTGGGCCCCAGCTGGTGTGGCTCAGTGGATAGAGCATCGGCCCGCAGGCTGGAGGGTCCCGGGGTCGATTCCGGTCAAGGGCAGGGACCTCAGTTGCAGGCTGGATCCCTGGCCCCGTCTAGCTGTGGTCCCTGCGTCTGGGACAGAGCTGAGAACAGGATGGGCTGGAGGTGGGGAAGGGGCTTCCACTCTCAGCTGGCTAACTCTCAGCTAGCTCACTCTCAGCTACCTCTCAGCTGGCTAACTCTCAGCTGGCTAACTCCCAGCTGGCTCACTGTCAGCTACTACCTCTCAGCTAACTAACTCTCAGCTAACTACCTCTCAGCTAACTACCTCTTAGCTAACTACCTCTCAGCTAGCTAACTCTCAGCTAGCAAACTCTCAGCTAACTACCTCTCAGCTAACTACCTCTCAGCTGGCTCACTGTCAGCTACTACCTCTCAGCTGGCCGCTCCCGCTCTCCCCGCAGCTCATGAACGCCAGCCTGCCCCTCACCTGCCCAGGGAAAGGCGGTAGGCTCTGCAGCTCTGCCTCCCCTTGGAAAGTTCTGGAAGGACTTTCTGTGCTCCGGGGCTTGGCTGTGGCGCCTCTCCCACTAATTAAAGCTAACTCGGTGCCGAGGAAAACACCCGCGGGCCGGGGCGCGCTTTCATCTGGGAAACGCCTTGTCCCCTCCGTGAGCGCTGGGGCGGCCACCGCGGGGTGAGGGCCCGTTGGCGGCCTTGTCATGCAGGAGGCCCCTCGGATGCGTCTGGGCGCTTCCCGAGGGTTGCTGAGCGGCTGCCAGTCCAGGGATCCCCATTTCTGGCAAATGAACTGACACT